ATCTATCTATCTATCTATCTATCTATCTATCTATCTATCTATCTATCTATCTATCTATGTGTGCGTGTACATTTATATATATTATCATATGATCTCTCTTTCTTTCTCTCTCTCTTTATATATATATATATATATATACATATATATATACATATATATATACATATATATATATATATATATATATATATGTGTGTGTGTAAGAAATATTGGTGTATATATGTTCATGGATGTGATTAATCAAAATCAGTTAAATGTGAATGTTAGTGCTCTTTATTCAGAAAATCCACATCACATCTACATTTCAGGATCTTTATTATAGACAAAGATTAAATGTTAAATATGAATATTTCTATATTTATCACCACAGTAATACTGTTACTCACGTCACGTTAGTTGTTGTAAACACTCAAAAGAATAGTTTAGTGCTTACCTATAACCTAAACATTTAAGGAGTAAACATTTTTTTCATTCATTCAACCTTTATTTATACATGCCCATCTTTCAGATGACTGTACGTACATACAAACCGGATTCCAAAAAAGTTGGGGCATTAAACAAATTGTGAATAAAAACTGAACGTAATTATGTGGAGGTGCCAACATCTAATATTTTATTCAGAATAGAACACAAATCACAGATCAAAAGTTTAAACTGAGACAATGTATCATTTTAAGGGAAAAATCTGTTGTTTCCAAATTTCATGGCGTCAACAAATCCCAAAAAAGTTGGGACAAGTCCATTTTTACCACTGTGTGGCATCCCCTCTTCTTCTTACAACACTCAACAGACGTCTGGGGACAGAGGAGACCAGTTTCTCAAGTTTAGAAATAGGAATACTCTCCCATTCATGTCTAATACAGGCCTCTAACTGTTCAATCGTCTTGGGCCTTCTTTGTCGCACCTTCCTCTTTATGATGCGCTAAATGTTCTCTATAGGTGAAAGATCTGGACTGCAGTCTGGCCCTTTCACCCGGTGGATTCCAAAAAAGTTGGGACACTAAACAAATTGTGAATAAAAACTGAATGCAATGATGTGGAGATGGCAAATGTCAATATTTTATTCATAATATAACATAGATGACAGATCAAAAGTTTAATCTGAGTAAATGTAACATTTTAAAGGAAAAACATGTTGATTCAAAATTTCACAGTGTCAACAAATCCCAAAAAAGTTGGGACAAGTAGCAATAAGTGGCTGGAAAAAGGAAATTGAGCATATAACAAACAGCTGGAAGACCAAATAACACTAATTAGGTCAATTGACAACATGATTGGGTATAAAAAGAGCTTCTCAGAGTGTCTGTGTCTCTCAGTAGCCAAGATGGTAAGAGAATCACCAATTCAGAGTCAGAGTCAGAGTCAGAGTTTCTTTATTGTCATTCGCACCTCATGTGGTACATGTGGTGGAGCGAAATTATGTACACAGGGTCCCAGTTACATCCAACAATAAAATGTATAAGAAAAACAGTAATAACATCTAAGATATGAACTAAGAAAAACATCAACTAAATATACACTAAGCACTCATAACATAAAACATTGAACATCAGCACAAACATGAACATGAGTCTGTGAGCAGATGTGCACGCATGAACACATCAACATTGAAACAGATCAGCAGCAACATGAAACAGATCAGCAGCAACATGATATGGTTTTTCACAGTGATTATTCTAGTTAGAGATTCATGAGTCTAACAGCCTCAGGGTAGAAGCTGTTCCTCAGTCTAGTGGTTCTACACTTAATGCTCCTTAACCTCCTTCCTGAGGGGAGTGGGGCAAAAAGTGTGTGTGCTGGGTGGGTGGGGTCCTTCATGATGCAGGTGGCCCTCTTCCTGCATCTGGAGGTGTAGATGTCTGTGATGGTGGGGAGACTGATTCTGACAGATTTCTGTGCAGCCTTCACCACTCTCTGCAAAGCTTTTCTTTCTGCAGCTGTGCAGCCTCCATGCCACACATTGATGCTCGAGCACAGGATGCTCTCCACTGCACACCTGTAGAAGGAGGTGAGGACTGAGCTTCCCAGACCAGCTCGTCTCAGCCGTCTGAGGAAGTAGAGTCTCTGATGAGCTTTCTTGATCAGGCTGGTGGTGTTGTTGCTCCAGCTGAGGTTGTCATTCATGTGTACACCCAAGTACTTGTAGCTGGAGACCACTTCCACCGCAGATCCTCTTATGTTCAGGGGGGTGTAGGTGTTTTTGTTCCTTCTGAAGTCCACAATCATCTCCTTTGTCTTCTTCACATTGATGTAAAGGTTATTCTCTCTGCACCAGCTCTCCAGGTGTTCCACCTCCTGCCTGTAGCTGGACTCATCATTGTTTGTGATGCATCCCACCACCGCTGTATCATCTGCAAACTTTACAATGTGACAGCCTGGATGGGTAGCTGCACAATCATATGTGAGCAGAGTAAACAGGAGGGGGCTCAACACACATCCCTGAGGAGAGCCAGTGCTGAGGGTTATGGTGGAGGAGGAGAGGTTGTGGATCCTCACTATTCCACCATTGTTGCGCAGAAAGATAGTGCAGCAATACCAGAATGGTGTTACCCAGCGTAAAATAACAAAGACTTTTAAGTTCTCATCATCAAC